CTCCGCGTACCACTGCTGGTACGCGTACCACAGTTTGAGAACCACTGCTCTATAACATCGAATGAGAAAACAGAGATTTTTCAGTTGATGCAGGAAGAAAGATAATCCACAAATGGAGAAAATTCAAGACCTTTGCCAAACTACCCAGGAGTGGCCATCCTACCAAATTCTCTCCAAGATCTGACCGTACAACACTCCCTGAAGTCTCAAAGAGGCCCAAAGCTACATCTAGGGATCTACAGGCATCTCTTGCTATGGTAAATATCCACTATTAGGAAAAGATTGAATAAGAATGGATTTCATAGAAGGATAACCAGAAGGAAACCCCTACTCTCCAAGAAGAACATTGTAGCACAGTGTAAGATCCTAAGCAGCTCTTGAATTAAAAAAAAAAAAACTTCCAGAACAATGTGCTTTTGGCCATAATGCAAAATGTCAGAAAATGATGCCAGAACATCATATAACCAACAAGCACAGTTCTCTGTGGGTGATGGTTTGGGCCTGCTGTGCATTAGAATTGAATTGACACTCGCAGTTTGGAGGGGAATAGATGGAGTCGACAGGGTTAAGGAAGAGTTGGTCAGAATTCCTCCCAGGTGATGTGTGACTGATCAACTCTTACGGGAATTTAAGTTATTGTTGTTAAAGGGGATGTTGCATGTTACTGAATCAACTTTTTTTGCACTTACTTTTTCACACAAAGATATTGAATGCTGATTTTTTTAATCATAATGACAAAGGTTGCATGTTATTTATAAGATGAGGTTGGTTTTATCTACTATTAGGGCTTGGAGAGGACTACTTGAATTTAAATGTATCCAAACACTGTCTGTTAAAACAATAAAACCTTAAGCGAGTGTACTGTTTTCTTTACAACACTTACATAAATACAGCAAACACATTTCTATTGTTTCCAACTTCTGATTAATGCAAATAAGGCTGGAATTGCTAACATTGCTGAAACTCTGCTGTGCCATCTGACATCTGATTAATCTAACCATTAGTTATCCAAAACACGTGGGTGTATGAATGCTGAAAACAAAAGCCCAAGAATCTGCCCATTATATACCACATATTAGTACTATACATCTATACAGAAACTGCCTGTTTGTCCCCCAGGATTTTAAATATGAATTTTTAAATCTTTCACATAAATCTTTATACTTACCCCTTGGATCCCACTTGGAATGTGATATTTTATTACAATTGTACCATACATCTCATATCCTGGTAGAGATGATCTCAAAATGGTAACATCCATTTGACCATTTTCAGGTTGGGTACCTTTTAGCTTCCCATATATTATACCACAGATTGGACAGGAAGGTTTTACATCAAAGGCAGTTTTTAAGCAGTCTTTACAAAATACATGCTGACAGCGTGGTAATGTTGTCTTGTCTATTTCCTTGATTAACTCCAAACAAATTGGACAAGTATCTTCCTTGGCTTTCTGGTGGTTTTGGACAGGAGGTGAACTTAACCTACTATCCCGTGACCTGAACAACTGATGATTTTTAGGAAGCATTTTGCTGCCTGTGTGAGTCTTTGTTGTGTGAGTCTCACCATCCTGTAAGAGCTTGTCCAGCCTTCTTAAGTCAATGAAGCTCCCAGTCACTGTAATTGTATCCCTTCTTGAGTTAATGGAAAGTTTTGGAAATTCCTTTTCAAAGTTTTTGTAATGGGTTTTCCAGACTGAGTCTGTATTGTATGTTTTTACTTGGAGGTTGGTTGCAATCTTCTGATAAAAAGTTAGAAACCTCTCCCTGACACAGTGACATTCAAAATCAGTTCCTTTTTTAGGCTGTAGAGATTGAAAATTAATAAGCATCTTGCTGCTAGATCTACTTCTTTGTATAATAACATTATGACCTCTGATGTCATCAAGTTCCTTGGAATATTTTTCTTCAATGTATTCCATAATGGGTTCAGCAACCTCAACTGGTTCCCCCTGGCTAAAGTGAGGAGGCTGTTGAGGTTTAGTATATGGTGGATGTTTGGTAGGACGAAAAGGTTTTATTGTTCTCAGCTTGCATAATTTAGCAAACAATTCATCCACTTTTTCATATGAGCCTTCAACTTCCAAACACTTGTCCCCCTTCATTTTCACAGAAAGCTGTTGGTGTCTTTTAATTATGTCCTGGGCTTCATATTCATCTTCAAAGACTGCCAGATCAACAGTCAGAGTCATGAACGGGAATATCTATAAGAATATGTACAAAAACAGAGCACTGTTCAAAAACCAAAGTAATTATAAATATTATTAAAAGGTCATTCTTTATCAAACCTATGGCCATAAAGGCCATGAACCTTGTGTTACACAATAATTGTGCATGTTCCATTTCAGTAAAATCTGTAAAAGTCCTGAAAAAATGGAATGCAAACAATGTAGGAAATACAAAAATCGCTAATATACAAGATGAGAAATATATAAACAATTTATAAGGGCATACTGTATACTTATATGTATAGATGCATTTCCTTTTGTCTATGAAGTTCAATAGATGTTAAAGATTTTTTACAGTGTACAGGTGTTAAATGTGATATTGTACAGTGTTGTTTTGTCAACTTTTTAAAGATTTTAATATAATAACAATCTATAAATAATTGAATAATCATACAGAATCACACTGTACTCTGTTCTGTGGTTGTGTATTACAGTATCTGCAATTGGCTGGGAATTATAATTACTACTACTGTAATAATATCCATGGCATATTCACAGTTTCCAACATAAAACGTTGTTCTTTAAAAACGTAAGATTTTAACCTCAACCTAGAACAGGAGACATATTAAAACATGCACGAAGAACCATTAATTACACCCTTTAATTTGTAAAGCCATGATTTCAGACTTAATAGTGTTCCTTCGTATGAAATATATTTTCATACTGTGTATGTTACATTTAATCCCTCTTTAACAGAAATGCATTTTTTTTAATCCAAAGGTTTAACAGACATCTAAATCTAAAACGTTTTTTTAAAACTTTTCTACAGGTTCTGCTAAACAAATAATGTTTTGGTTCTGTAAAATACTTCCATTACATAAGACATACATTCATTCAACATTAAAAAAAAATACTAAACTGATATTCATTTTGTTAACAAATCATTAAAATATTACATTTCTAGTTTTCATGAAGCTACTACATATGATTTATTCCTGAAAAGTTTCAGGTCAAGGCAGGATGCTCATTTTATAGTACATGCAAAAAAATCTAATCTCTTCTCAATATTACTATTATGTTGCTTTTGTTATTTTTTTAAGTGCACTAAATTTATTTTGGCGGAAAACGCTGTCAGTACGGCTCATGGTATCTTCGTGTTTTAAAGTTTCAAATGTTTTATGCTAGAAATGTACAAAATTGTCTTTGTACTAAACGCCAGTATTACCAATTGACAAACATTCGTTGTTTGGTAAATACGTACCTCAATTACTGTTCCACCGGACATGATGTTTGTGGAAATAAACTTCAGAGTATTTGAAACGGTGCTGTTAACTGTTGCTAATGGTAATATACAAACATATTTATCGAAAATAGGCGTCATAGTCATATACGTCACTTCTCAGATTCAATGTGATTTGCTATTCTCCAGACACACAACAATTTTCTCGCCATGTCAGTGGTTTAAAAAATGTAATCTGTTAAATCGTGTCCGCCTTTGCCATGCTTGGTTGAAGGACACTTGTGGAGTTCGTTTCTAGTGACACTTTTAGTTTCGTTTTAGTTGAAGAGGAGGTGGAGTTAGAGGGAGGTGCGAATATTAAAGAATTCTTCAAAATACCTTAACCCATTCCTGCTGATATAGGAGACTTTATTTCTTTCTTAAATGGTCCACAAAATAATAATGAAAAAAAATTTTTTTTGGACGTTTAGTTTAAAGGTTTCAGAATTGTAAGATATCCAACGTTCAACAAACTACCTTAAAGTGTTTATCTAAAACCCTTTTTTTAAATAAACTACTTATTTAAAAATATTGTTCTTTCGGTATTCTCCCAAGTACTTTTTTTATTATTGATATAAATATGCTTAAAAGGAAAACACCTTACAGAATGATAGAAAAAGCAAACGAAGTGTATTTCTTTAAAATATGGATGTAGCTCATGAGATACAGTATGTGTACAGTAATTTGTACCATTCAAGGTGTGATTTTAAAGCAAACAACTGATCTAGTTCCCTTTTTGTTTTTAAAACAGTTGTTTAATTTCCCTCACAAGGGACATAACAATATGTATATTAAGCACCCATAACATTTTATTTCCTTATGTTGGTCATGTTTTTAATGAAGCAGCTTTCCTTGAATAATGCTGAAACAGTAACCTTTTCTAGTCTAGGCTACCAAATTTAGCTCCATTTGGCTACATGCTTCAAGAGAAACTTATTTAAATGTTTTTTAGCCAATCCAATATGGTGGCCAAATTATGAGACCAAAACATAGTGGTTTTAAATAAGTAGTCTTACTTAACTACTGAATTCTTATAAAGAGCCTGTGAGACTGATCAAGTTTAGCTTCACATTCTCAGACTGCATGAAGCTTCATGAATCTGGAATCGTGTTCCACAAAGACAAAATCAAGTATGCAAATTACCCAGACTCATGGCGGCCATGTTTTTAATTTGGCAGGTTGACATGAACAGTCTTGACAACACAGCATCTATTATGTGCATCAATATTGACTTTATTTGACCTCAGAATTTGACCAAGTGGTGTTTTCCTGCCTCACCACTGGTCGGTGAGACCCCTCCTCTTAGATGAGACCTTTGAAAAGGAGCACAGCTGTGTCGATGGTGGTTCTTCCTTTGTTCAATGACTTTCTCGCTACTCATAAGGGCTGCCCTCCAAGACCTGTGCTGTTCCCTTTTTCTCAGGGGGCTGACCAGTCAGTTCCACCCTGATGCCAAGGCTCCCTGATTCTGACCGACCAGCTGTGTTGAGCAGTTTGTACAGGGCTGGTGCTGTGCCAGGCCAGCCTTTCCCTCTTTTCACCAGGGATGCAATGAACCAGTTTCTCCTAGGACCGACACGCCTCACCAGTTGTTTTTCTTTGCCGACTGGCTAGGCCAATCCTTTCCCAGCCACCTAGTTCTTTATTAATTAATTTTTCCTTTCTATTGTCCATTACTGACCAGCCTGGACTGATGAAGCCCCGTTGGCCGGTTATCCATGAATTAACACCTTCTTTCACTTTTTCTTTTCCTCCGACCCAGAGCACTCGAGTCCCAGTCAGTTGGCTCTCTAGGAGCCTTCTGCCACTATCTGGTCTCTTCTGCTCTGGATCTGACAAATCACCACGTGATTGTGCATCGTAACAGTACCACAATAAAATGTGAAATATCCAAGGGGTGACTGAATACTTTTTATAACTGTGGTAAATAGTTTATATATGGTGCACAGTATTAACTGATATTGATGATTAATTATTAATCATGCTTGTAACCTTTAGTGTAATACATCCATTTGGGTTTTTCACTATGCCTTTGGGGTTAGTTTTATCAGAGGTGTTCACTTAAACTGAAACATGACACCTAAAAAATGACTATTTTATTTTTAAATCAAAATCAAATGAACAAGGTTACTCCCAGTGGGAGATCCTATATTGAAAACTTTTTTTGGGGAGTGGTGGTGTAATTATCCAATATTTAGATGCTAGTCTAAATATGATTCTTGTGAAAAATGTTACATCCCTTTGATGCTTTTTAGTCCAAATCAATCTCGATCTCTGCTGGCAGTTTTAGTTTACCACACAATTAAATCCTTGAGCTAGTTTTCAGACTTCCCAGCACTACTTTGCCCAGTCTACAGTATATACAGTATGTATTTCTCTTATTGCTGATTTCACTATGAGGATTCTCCTTGGGATACATTATGCAGCATGTCAACTTTCTAACACATAATTGTGGCCTTATGTATTAGATTAATCCTGTCATGTTTTGAGCACTTCCTACTTAAAGGCATTTGAATTCATCTTTTCTGGAATTGGCTTTCCAGCCAGGCCATGTCTGATATGCTGTCGTTTCTACGAAAATGTGTCTCCTTTCCCTTGTTCATTCATCCCCAGAGTATACAGATGAACTGCACTATATGAAGATCATTTGTTGAAGAAGACAGGGTTGACTGATATTCTACAGGCTTATAAACACCAACAATGTCAAGGTTTGCAACATACTGTAACTAACATTAGCAGGCCTTCAGAGATACCACTAAGGTGGCCATATTCTCCTTCTATTCCAGTCCTAACGGCAGGGGTCATTAAAATGATCAAACTAATATGTGTGCTTTACCTCCTACTATGCAAAATATAACACATCCTTCCAATACTTTCACAACAGTATACACACTACTAATAACCAGCTGTAGACCTCTTTTGCTGCAGGCTTGACTACATATAACCTATTTTTGTAGGTTAGGGTTTCTCTTATTTTACTGCTGTTGATGCTGCCTTTGTCACTGAGCTAAATAGAGGTCTCTTGTCTTGGGCCCTATAAATAAGCATCTGTTGTACTCAGAGATAACTTATTTGGTCTTTGTCTATTAGTTTCTCAATTCCCCATTAAGAACCTAAAATTTGTTTCTGTTGCCAAAGGTTCACAGTATGGTATTGTCACATCTCTGTTGAGAAGCCGTGCCCAAATCTCAAAGTTCTTTACAATTTGAGCCTAATGAAGTCTTTTTAACCTTTTTCAGTCAGTGTTTAGACAGAAACATAATACAGAAACAGCCCTTAATAAGATACCTAATGATTTTCTGATGGTTATTGGAATCTAGTTCATTCAACATTTTTCTCCTCTTTGACTCAATGCAGCTTTTCATTCTGCATTGATTGTATTGATTTGCTGTATTGCTTTTGCTACTATTTGGCTACCAGGAATCAATTCATGGATATTTTGTAAGTCAGGTGTTGTCCCACTCATGGCAGGTGATCCCCAAGGTTCTATGCTGAGATCTTTACTATTTAGTGTTTATATATTATTTTTTGGTCAAATCATTTCCATCAAGTATCTGGGTATCACAACAATGCTAATGACACTCAGATTTGCTTGGAGAGCAATTGAGATATTTGTGATTTGCCTTGTGCAATCTATGGGGGTATGTCTGATATTAAGATAAACTGTACACATATAAATATAAATATAGTGATATAGCAGCCATATCACTCTGCATCCCACTGAAGCTAAACAGGTGTGAGCCTGGTTAGTAACTGGATGAGAGACCTCCTGGGAAAAACTAAGGTTGCTGCTGGAAGAGGTGTTAGTGGGGCCAGCAGGGGGCACTCACCCTGCTGGCCCAACTAACCTGCGGTCCATGTGGGTCCCTAATGCCCCGGTATAGTGACGGGGACACTATAATGTAAACAGGCGCCATTCTTCGGATGAGATTTAAAACCAAGGCCCTGACTCTCTGTGGTCATTAAATGTCCCAGGGCATTTCTCGAAAAGAGTAGGGGTATAACCCCGGTGTCCTGGCCAAATTTCCCATCGGCCCTTGGCAACCATGGCCTCCTAATAATCCCCATCTATGAATTGGCTGTATTACTCTGCTCCCCTCCCCACTAATAACTGATGTGTGGTGAGCGTTCTGGCACACTATGGCTGCCGTTGCATCATCCAAGTGGATACTGCACATTGGTGGTGGTGGAGGGGAGTCCCCATTACCTGTAAAGCACTTTGAGTGGAGTGTCCAGAAAAGTGCTATATTGTATAAGTGTAAGCCATTCTTAATTATAATTATTATAAGATATAAATGCAGCCAGCGATTGTTGATGGTACTGAAATCAAACCCTTTATGAAAATTAAAAACCTTGATTTTACTTTTGAACTTGGGTTGTGTTGTCAATTGAAGTTCATTTTAGAAATCTCAAAAGGATATCTTTATTTCACTCAACATTGCTCAGTTAAGATCTTAATAATACGATGGTAACATATTGACACATGCCTTTAGATAATGAAGAATAGACTGCAATAAAGCTTTACATAATGGATTCTTATATAGTACTAAGTAGCCTTCAGTACAGTATGTCCAGAAGCAGTATAATATGCTAAATAACAGTACTCTTAATGTGCATGGAACTCCCATTCTCTATAAATTGTTCCCTGTAATATTCAGAGATTTTAAGATTCTCCCAATCACATAATGTACTGGGTTTAGGTTATCGTTAAGGACATTCTAAAACGGGAGGCAAAACAATGCCATTAAACTACCGACCAGTATGTCTCACTGCTATTACATCTTTGTAATTAGTGATAACAGAATACCAGAGTGGAATTTACAGTGTCTTGAAAAGGTATTTAGGTCCTTCCAATTATGTCCCATTTTGTTAAATTACAAATGATGCAAGCAGAAGTCACATATATTAAATATAAACAAATCAAAGTTCTAACTGAACACTTTATAGGTGAAAGAAGTTAAATGTCATAAAAACTGCAAAGAAAAATCAAAACCTGCAATGTGTTTACAGTGTAGGAATTCACCCCCTGAGTCAATACTTTGTGGAATCAACTTTGGCATCCATTATAGTCTTTATCCATTTTGAATCAATCTCTACCACCTTTGGACATGAGAATGGTGCAATTTTTTAAATTATTCATTATAAACTGATTCAGGCTCTATCAGATTGTTTGGGGATCACTGATGAACAGCAATGTTCAAGTCTTGTCAC